ATGTTGTGTTGCTTCTGATGCCTCTGTTCTGTTCCATTGGCCTATATCTCTCTTTTGGTACCAGTACCATGCTGTTTTGATTACTGTAGCCTTGTAGTATAGTTTGAAGTCCGGAAGTGTGATGCCTCCCGCTGTGTTCTTTTTGCTTAGATTTGACTTGGCTATGCGGGCTCTCTTTTGGTTCCATATGAAGTTCATGGTGGTTTTTTCCAGTTCTGTGAAGAAGGTCATTGGTAGCTTGATGGGGCTAGTGTTGATTCTGTAAATTACTTTGGGCAGTATAGCCATTTTCATGATATTAATTCTTCCTAACCATGAACATGGAATGTTTCTCCATCTGTTTGTGTCCTCTCTTATTTCGTTGAGCAGTGGTTTGTAGTTTTCCTTGAAGAGGTCCCTTACGTTCCTTGTAAGTTGTATTCCTATGTATTTTATTCTCTTTGTAGCAATTGTGAATGGCAGTTCATTCTTGATTTGGCTCTCTTTAAGTCTGTTATTGGTGTATAGGAATGCTTGTGATTTTTTGACATTGATTTTGTATCCTGAGACTTTGCTGAAGTTGCTTATCAGTTTCAGGAGTTTTTGGGCTGAGACGATGGGGTCTTCTAGGTATACTGTTATGTCGTCTGCAAATAGAGACAATTTGGCTTCCTCCTTTCCTTTTTGAATACCATTTATTTCTTTTCTTTGCCTGATTGCTTTGGCTAGAACTTCCAGTACTATATTGAATAGGAGTGGTGAGAGAGGGCATCCTTGTGTAATGCCAGATTTCAAAGGGAATGCTTTCAGTTTTTGCCATTTCAGTATGATATTGGCTGTTCATTTGTTGTAAATAGCTTTTATTACTTTGCTATACGTTCCATCAATACCGAGTTTATTGAGGGTTTTTAGCATAAAGGGCTGTTGAATTTTGTCAAATGCCTTCTCTGCGTCAATTGAGATAATCATGTGGTTTTTGTTTTTGGTTCTGTTTATGTGGTGAATTACATTTATAGACTTGAGTATGTTGAACCAACCTTGCATCCCCAGGATGAATTCTACTTGATCATGATGGGTAAGTTTTTTGATATGTTGTTGCAATAGGTTTGCCAGTATTTTATTGAAGATTTTTGCATCTATGTTCATCATGGATATTGGCCTGACGTTTTCTTTTCTTGTTGAGTCTCTGCTGGGTTTTGGTATCAGGATGATGTTTGTCTCATAAAGTAATTTGGGAAGGATTCCCTCTTTTTGGATTATTTGGAATAGTTTCAGAAGGAATGGTACCAGCTCCTCTTTGTGTGTCTGGTAGAATTCGGCTGTGAACCTGTCTGGACCTGGGCTTTTTTTGTGTGGTAGGCTCTTAATTGCTGCCTCGTGTTGTGTTTTTCAGCTCCTTCAATTCATTCATATTCCTCTCTAAGTTGTCCATTCTTGTTATCATTTTCTCGAATCTTTTTTCAAGGTTTGTAGTTTCTTTGCAATGATTTAGAACATGTTCTTTTAGCTTACGGAAGTTTCTCATTATCCACCTTCTGAAGTCTGATTCTGTCATTTCATCACACTCATTCTCCATCCAGCTTTGTTCTCTTGCTGGTGAGGAGTTTTGGTCCTTTGTAGGAGGTGAGGTGTTTTGGTTTCCAGTGTTTTCCTCCTTTTTGCGCTGGTTTCTTCCCATCTTTGTGGATTTATCCACTTGTCATCTGAGTAGTTGCTGGCTTTTCCATTGCGTCTCTGAGTGAACACCCAGATTGTTGGTAATGAAGTATTTCTGTTACTTCGTTTTCCTTCTAACAGTCTAGCCCCTCTGCTATACGACTGCTGAGGTCCACTCCAAGCCCTGCTTCTCTGGGGTACACCTGTAGCAGCTGCGGAACAGTGAGGGATGTTACCAGTTTCTTCTTCTGCTGTCTTTGTCCCAGAATGATGCCCGCCAATTGTCAGTCTGATCAGTCCTTTTTGAGGTGTCTCTTTGGATATACAGGGGTCAGGGAGCTGCTTGAGGAGATGGTCTGTACTTTATAGGAGCTCAGGTGCTGCACTGTGAGCTCCATTGTTCATTCAAGGCTGTTAGGCAGATATGTTTAAGTCTGCTGCTGCAGAACTTATAAAACCTCTTTTTTCCTCAGATGCTCTGTCTTGGGGATTTAGGGCTTTCTTTATGAGTATCCATTGCACTGACCTGCCCAGCTAGGAGGCAGTCTAGTCATTATTTCCCTGCCGAGGCTCCGCCCTGCTGCCATGGAGTCTGCCCTGTTGCCATGGTCTCTGCCCTGCTGCCATGGGCTCTGCCCTGCTGTCATGGGCTCCGCCCTGTTGGCAGAGTCTCTCTGTTATGGCAGGTTGCCTCAGCAACAGCAGGCTGCTTCAGCAATAGGAGTGTACCGCAGTAGGGGCGGAATCCCTCGGTAATGTTGGATGCCCCTCCCTCACCGAGCTGCACCATCCTGGGTTCAGCTGTATCGCAGTGAAACTCTCAACCCTGAGCGTTTTGAATCGCAGTTTTGTTTGTCCCTGTGGGGGTGGGACCTGCCGAGTCTGATCACCTTGCTCCCTGCCTCAGAGCCCTTTTTTTTTTTTTTTAAAGTTGAACGGTTGACTGTCTCCCAGGTGTTTCAGTTGCCTGCTGGTAGGGCGCCGGGATCTGTGTAATTTGCCATGCAGCTACCCACTGCGCCGGCTCAAATGTTGCTTCCCGGGAATCTCCTGGTCTGGCTCACTTTCCAAGTCCCGTTTAATCAGATGGATATGCTAATCTGCTCTCCCAAATCTCAGATCGCCGGTTTAACAGGGCACCCAGACCAGTGCATTTTGTGCGGAGTGCCGCTGCACTGTGGTGCTGGCCAAAATGGCCGCGCCAGCTGAAATGGCTGCGCTGGCATCCCATGTCTTTCCTACACCTGGGAATTTCCCTGTTCTATGGGCAACAATGATCTGTCTGGAAATGCAGCTTGGACTCACCCTCTTCGCCTTCACTGAGAGCTGCAATCCTGAGTTGCTCCTACTGTGCCATCTTCCTCTAATTCTGATTTTTTACAAATGTTTAAATTATTAGTAGGGAGTTTTAATGTTAGACTAAATACAATTATCTTAAACCTTTCCTATTGAAAGATATTAATTTGAAACATTTGAACTCTTCATCTTTCTCTCCTTACAGTAATGGTTTACATTGCAATGCCTGAAGACAGCCTATAAACATTACATAGAAATTCCATACACGTTTTTTTGTGTATATTGATTATTTGGAATACATAGATTAGGTAACCTGCTGTTGTTTCTTTCCTGGTCATATATAATTCTTTGAAGCTAAAAATAGAGATTTATAACCTTGGTAATTAAATGTCTTTTGTTGTTGCAAAGGTTCCAGAGGAATTTACTGATGTAAATGTTTAATTATCATGTATCTCTTCACATTTTAAATCATCAAGTTTAATAAGGTAATTGTGAAATTCGTAAGCATTTAAATTGGATTTTATTGGATAGCTGCTGTAATTAGGTCTTACTTTGATTTTACCTGAAAAGAATGGCAGTAAAAGATAAGATAAATATTTCTCATTATATATAACTTCCTTAGAAATTATATTTAGCCAACCAATTACTACTGGTTAAGTGCTACTAGTTTTCTTCAAATATTTTTACTGTGATAATAAATGTAAGACTATTGTTATGTACTTTTCTGCTGTGTTTTTCAATTGAGATGAAAAGAAGTGTTTATCCTCACAATTCTTGTAGAACAAACTTTTGTTAGGCAGCATCTTTGAAAATTGTTCATTTGTTTTGTAGAATAAAAGATAAAGGTAGTTGCATTTCTTTAAATGTAAACCTAAGTGCACGTTAGTAGTTTGAGACACATTGAATTACATATAACTTAAAATTACTATACCTTCCTGTTAACTTATACTATTTATGTATGTCTAGAAATAGCTTTTTAATATATGTGTATATATATTTTTTCTTTTAAAATACTGTGTTCTAAAAATACTACTTTTCTATCAGTGTAGCAATTTTATCCAGTTGTGAAGTTTGGAACCATTCAGTGGCATATTTATTAGGTGTCTTCTCTTATCTTTGGCTAGTATCCTCTTTTATGGTAGATGTTAAATCACAGAAGCACAGAAATGGGGGAAAACTTGAGAAAACAGCAACTTGGATATCTAAACTTTTTAGTGTAATTTTAAAATAATTTAGATCCTTTCTAGAATCTGTACCTTTTCACTAACACATATTACAAATTTTCTTTTAATTTACTTACTTTAAATGGTTTCCTAAATTATATTATAGACATTTTCTATGTAATTTAAAACTGCTTTCTTTACCTTTACTGCATTTCCTCAATTTCTCAACATCAGTAATCATTTCAGGAACCACTATGACTCTTAGAAAACAAAGTGTATTTCTGAGGGGAGCCAATTTGTGCTTTTTGTCTTTATGTTGAATAATTCTACTTATATTAGGAAGAAGAAAATAACATTCATTAGTCATCTAAAAGCTTGGAACAATTTCGGTCAACCTTCCTATACATTTGTGTTATAATATAGGTAATAGCAAGAGATTTTTCACTTCAAATTTAGTGTAATTATTTGCCATTGCTTTTGAGGGAACATAGTTAAACTATGTAATAAAAATACTTGCCTTGTTTTACTTATGATGGTGTCCGAAAAAGAGAGGAAATACAGTTTCTGATAAAAATGGAAAGTCCAGGAATAAATATAATGATGAGAATGAGTGCTTTTATCACTGGGGAACTTTCTTCATCTAAGCACATATGAACAATTGATCCTTGTAGTCATATATAGCAGTAAACATTAATAACTTAACAGTCTGAAGTAGGTGCAGAAGATATGGAGCATTATTGAAAGATGGAGTCGAGCAGGTGGCACTTTAATATGTTCAGTGTCATGGTTGACTCTAAAGACTAGTCGAATGAAATTACTTGAGGTTCTAAAGATTTAAAAAGCGAACTCATTTTGCTGCACTAAGGAAATGCTACTGATCAGGCTTTCTGTGTCCCTTTTTTCTAGGCTAGAAAATATTAACCCTGAAGAAAATGACATGGTAAGCCATTCTCTGAGGAGATTTCTTGATGTCAGTCTTATATCTTAGAGGCTTAAGTTCAATTGAGTGGGTTTCAAGAACTAAGATGTGGGAAAAAGAAGAATTGACACACTAATAATGTACATCTTTGCTGCAGTATGAAAATTCAATAACTTCACTCAGTCAATTTACAATTCACATGTGCCTATTAATTAAAACCCTATATTAAATAAAATATATTAAAACTTCATGTCTGACTAACATATAATGGTGTTGGTAGACATTACAGGAATTACTGAACAGAATAAACAATGCAGACACAGGGATAGCTATTCAGAAGAATGGAGCTATAATTGTGGATAGAATCTACAAGACCAAAGAATGTAAAATGAGAATAACTGCAGAAGAAATGAGTGCACTAATAGAAGAACGGGATGCTGCCTTGTCTAAGGTAACTCTGCATGTATCTGTAAAAGCATATACTTACCATTTTCTTCTGTTTTTTTAACCATTAAAAAATGACTTTGGCCCAGATATTCTTAATTCATATTAGTTTTTAGCACATAGTTAATACCACAATGATTAGCTGTTTTAAAATAATTATGTATTTTATACTACTGTTCAAAATTTATAACCTCATTTTAAATAAAATTGAATGCAGTCTCATTTCTTCATAAAATTAAACTTGTTTTATAACATGCTAACTTGTTATAGAAATTTAGTTTTATTATTTCAATTAATCACTTTTATATGGGACTTCTTACTTAAGCTGCAGTTTTTTGAGAGCTGAGACTATGTCTGTATTACTGTTTTATTCCCATTGCCTAATTCAGTACTTTTTAGTAAACAATGATTAATAGATCAAAATTATTTATGTATTTTTTCTGAATTCCACTTACATCTTCCTGTTCTACCCGAAACCTGATTACCTCCCACAAGCCACTGCTTCCAGTGCAGTCCTTTAAAGTAGTGGCTGTGCTCTCTCATACCAGTTATACCACTGGGCTTAGAGGTTTCTTTCTCATTACTGTTTCCATTTATTTTTTTAAATGGAGATGAGGTATCACCTTGTTTCCCAGGCTGCTCTTGAACTCCTGGCCTCAAGTGATCCTCCTACCTCGACTTCCCAAAGTGTTGGGTTTGCAGATATGAGCCACCATACTCAGCCTTGTTATTGTTTTCAAATCAATGTCTTTTTCACTCCCTGAACATGTCCAGCTTTGAAACTCATGCATCAGACTATACTACCCAGTACACAATATTGTTGTAGTCATGTACACACTTCTATGTCACTTCCCTTGTTTTGTTAAGATTTTTGGATCTGTTCCAATATTTCTTTCTTTAGCCTGCTGTAATGTCATAATTCTTGGTGATGTAAATTCCTATGTAGACAATCCTTTCAAAAATTACAGTCTCTCATTTCCTAGAATTTCTCTGCTTTAGTCCTTGTGTGCTGCACACAATATCTGCCATCTACTCTGTGGTCATACTCTGTTCCTGGTCATTCTGAGTCTCAATGTCAGGCCTCCACTTTCTGACTACCAGCTGCTGTCTTTCTAGCTCACTCACTCTAGAACTCTGACTCTATCAATTTTTCAACTTATATATTTATTTTTCTTTCTTTTTTTTTTTAGGCAGAGTCTTGCTTTGTGACCCAGGCTGGAGTGCAGTGGTGCAATCTTGGCTCACTGCAGTCTCCTCCTTCGAGGTTCAAGTGATCCTCCTGCCTTAGTCTCCTAAGAAGCTGGGACTGTGGGTGTGTGCCACCACACCTGGCTATTTTTTCTGTATTTTTGGTAGACACAGGGTTTGGCCATGTTGGACAGACTGGTCTTCAACTCCTGACCTCAAGTGATCTGCCTATCTCAGCCTCCAAAAGTGCTGGGATTATGGGTGTGAGCCACTGTGCCTGGCCTTAACTTATTTCTATTGATCTTACTCTTTTTTATCTTTCAAACCCCTTATGTCCTTATTCTGCCCACCACACACATGTAGCTTAAATTCCATTGCCCATTATAATTATCACCAACTTGCATATAATATAACCTTATTTTTCTTGGCTCCCTCTTCCTTTGTCCTACTCACCCAGCAAAATCAAACCTAGTTAAATGAATCTTTCTGCTTTGTTTCCTCACAGCTTTATAAGGCAGGAGAAAAATCACACAAATTTACTGAATGGACTTACCTTAAATCCATGACCAGCTATTAATATCTTCAAGTAGATTTTCAATGTTGCCTGGCAACTTCTTGCCTTTTGCTTGTCTATTCACTCTTCCCTCTAGAGGACTATTTTATCTCTTCTTTCTCTGTAGTCATCCAACTTCTCCTCCCAGTTAAAAAGATAACTTCTGCATGTCCCCAGCCATTTCATCATCTACCAGCCTACCTGTATTTGCACCCTGTACTCTGCCTTTTCTACTTTACCTTTTTCTAACTACAGATTAGTACAGAAAGTACAGATAAGCAAAAAGGAGGAAAAAATTATCCCCAAACTCACTTTCTAGAAATAGTTATATGTACATTGTCTTTTTTCAATGCATATTATATTATATGTACTACTTTGTAGCCTGTTTTTTCACATTGATTTGACATTTTATTAGATATTCTCATAATTTTACATACTTCTGTTTAAAAAAAAATAAACCAGGAAAAAGGAAAAGTGATGTTTTAAGGGTTTAAAATGATAATTGCCATACCAAGTCTTGGAGTAGATGAGTAAATTGATAGGAAATAGGTTCTAGAACATAAGTGTAGGAATTGGCTTTTGTTAGGAATAGGGAAACTACTTTCATTCCAGCAGATGTCTGTAAAAAGCTTGGATAGATAAAGATGCTGGCAAGTTGATAAATTTAGTAATGGGAAATTGGGGGTGCAGTGTCATTCTCTACAAAAATGTTAGATTAACTTAGATTTTCAGCGGATTAGTGGATGGTGGTGAAGATTTATAAAGTACAGACAGTTTGAAATCATTTTTTTTGTTTGTATATAAATGAACATAACTAGAGAAATGTAGGATTGCCAGGCAGAGCTGAATGCACATTTAAGAATTACACTAGCTAGCATATTCTCACTCATAGGTGGGTGTTAAACAATGAGAACACATGGACACAGGGAGGGGAGCACTACACACTGGGGTCTGTTGGGGGGAATAGGGGAGGGAAAGCAGGGGGTGGGGAGTTGGAGAGAGATAGCATGGGGAGAGATGCCAGATATAGGTGATGGGGAGGGAGGCAGCAAATCACACTGCCACATGTGTACCTATGCAACAATCTTGCATGTTCTTCACATGTACCTCAAAACCTAAAATGCAATAATAAATAAATAATTACAGTAGCTAAATTTTTAAAAACCTGTCTGTGAAATTGTGTGATTTCTTTTAGCAGTATTCCAATCTTGAGTGTAGTATGGTATAGTAGGTAACTGATTTTAACTACAATGGAGATTTTAATGTGTTAGGGACCAGAGAGTTATTATAGCAGTGAAACACACACTCTCCCTCACCATGGACTCTCCCTTATGTAAAGAGGTAGAGGAGTTATGAGGCATATAGAAAGAAACAGAGGAGAGTGTGGTATTACAGAAGGCAAGGTCCTGGATAGTAAAAAGTGGGTAAGCCCATGTATTGGAGTTCTTGGTTTGTCAAATAATTGCACTATAGTGAGTTGCAGTCAAGAGAAAAAGGCACTTGAAATAAAGGTTTTGGACATATTACAATTATTAAGATTAGTGATTTCCAGATGTTTTTCTGTGTAATTTTTATATGGATGTATAGGAAAAAATAAACCCTAAATGATACATATTTTATCACACAGTAAGCCAGATTCAGAAGTGGTTACAGAGAGGAAGTATATCTAAGGAAAAATATGAATTTAAAACTTGCAAGGAATTTCCTTTATATTGTAACAAGTACAGAAATTAAGGTCTGCAAAGATAATATAATGACACGTATTTCAAGATTCACAAATGGGTACTAGAACATTCCTGGCTTGGTTATGAATTCCTCACTTGGCATCTACATGACCAGCAGTCACTTTGATAAAGCAGATTGAGATTAGGGAGTGCAGCATACGCTGACAAACCCACTTGATGAACATACCTAGAATTCTGCCCAATGATGTCACCTTCAAAGTTGTCTTTTCACTTTATCAAAGGGCATAATCAAATATCCTAGTGTCTTAATCTCTCCTTTTTAGTGTTGTTTTCACTTTGTGTTTCTTATAATTAACATAGTCTATAGCATATAATAGATACAAGGTAATGATAAGTTAAAATGCAAGAAATTTGACAAAAAGGTCATACTCAAAAGGAAATTAAAGCATAACATTCAAAGTTTCATTTTTCAGGAAAAGTAGGAAACATATTTGATATTATTAATTGTAGTGGCTATAAAATTTTAATTAATTTTTCCCTTGTCGGTTTGTTAATATTCTTTCATATAATTATTTGCTTATGCGTGTTTTTTTAGTCTATCTTGCTAAAATATATTGTTGATAGTTCATCTATTGTAATTACTTGCTTTTTCTTATTGTGAAATTTTTACAACTTTTTGAAAGTATATATAACTTTAGAAAGTACAGATAAGCAAAAAGAAGGAAAAAATTGTCCCCAAACTCACTTCCTAGAAATAGTTATATGTACATTGTCTTTTTTCAATGCATATTATATTGTATGTACTACTTTGTAGCCTGGTTTTTCACATTGATCTGACATTTTGTTAGATAGTCTCATAATTTTACTTTGTTTTATTTATTTATTTGAGACAGAGTCTCATTCTGTTACCCAGGCTGGAATGCAGTGGTGTGATCATGGCTTTGGTTCAGCTCACTACAACCTCAGCCTCCCAGGCTCAGGTGATCCTCCAACATCAGCCTTCAAGTCTCTGGGGCAATAGTCCCACACTTCCACCCAAGGGTGATTTTTTTGTATTTTTTTAGAGACGAGGGTTTCACCATGTTGCCCAGGCTGGTCTTAAACTCCTGAGCTCAAGTGATCTACTCCCTTCCATCTTCCAAAGTGCTGAGATTACAGGCATGAGCCACTGTACCAAGCCTCATACTTTGATAATTTGGGCATGTTAATATTTGTTTAACTTGCCTGCCATTGACAGTTTTGGGAATGGGAACATTTTTGTAACTAAATTTTTATGTATATTTATGTGTTTTTCCTAAAGGAAAATTCCTAGGAATGAAAAGGCTAATCTAAAGAATATAAACATTGAAAAATAAACATATATTTCTTTTTTATTATCATTATACTTTAAGTTCTGGGGTACATGTGCAGAACATACAGGATTGTTACATAGGTATACACGTGCCATGGTGGTTTGCTTCCTCCATTTCTCTGTCATCTACATTAGGTATTTCTCCTAATGTTAGCCCTCCCCAATCTCCACCCCATTCTATCCCTCTCCTACCACCCTTTCCCCCATGACAGGCCCCAGTGTGTGATGTT